ATGTTAAATAATAAACTCCCTGTGCCATAAACCTGGCATGATGCGAAATAATTGTAAATTTAAAGTGAAATTTTTTTACTTTGCCACCTAACCAAAGAATTGCTAATTGTATAAAATACAAAATTTGCATTCACTCCCAACAAGGCTGCAAGCAACCACTATCAAGTTGGGAGTTACTAGGAAAAAAAAAGAACAGAGTTATAGAGCAAGGAAACGGTTGACAGAAGACTTGAAAAGTTGAAGGTTGTATGAGTCAGGAAAACATGAAGATGGGAGAGAGTTCCAAAGGATTGAAGTGCGGGGAAAAAAACTAGATGAATAAAAGTTTTTAGAGCATGCAGGGACAGATACAGTAAATGAATGAGACTTAGCTGAATGACGAGTAAAACGAGAATGAATTTTAGTTGATGGAACTAGAGATGATAACTCCTTTGAGCAGTGACCATGATAGTATTTGTAGAAAAGAGAAAGAGATGCAACTTTACGACGACGGGAAAGAGGTTCAAGCTTAGCAGATAGTCCAGGTCCAACAACATTTACAATGCGTTTTTGGACCTTGTCAAGAAGAGAAAGTGAATCGTTAGAAGAAAATGACAACATGACAAATCAAATATGACAACAGTATTCCATACAGGGACGAATAAGAGATTTGTAGAGGTAGAGAATGGAATCAGAAGTAAGAAAATGGCGAGCACGATAAAGAGAAGCAACCTTAGCAGAAGCTAATTTAGCAATCAATTGTATATATAATTTCCATGAAAGGTCAGTAGTAAGCGATAATCCAAGAAGACGTAAAGAGGACGACTCAGTAAGAGGATTGCCATTCGTTAATATAGGAATGTTGACCATATTACGGTAGTTGTTTGCAGTAAGCAACTGGGTTTTTTTACAGTTGAAATTCACAAGCCACTGTGAACCCCAATCTATTACTGAAGTGAGGTCGGATTCAAGATCAGCTGCTTGTTCTAGGCGATTGACAAAAGAAGACTTTTTGTCAAGACAGGAGTATAAAGTTGAGTCATCAGCAAAAAGAGCTACTTTAGATGAAAGGTTGTCAGGAAGATCGTTTATGTAGATAAGAAACAAAACAGGGCCCAGGATGGAACCTTGGGGAACCCCAGAAGTTACTGGAAATAAAGAAGAGTGTTGGCCTTCAAGGATGACTTTAATAAACCGGTTAGAAAAAAATGATTTGATAATCTCAAAAACTTTCCCAGAAACACCATATGAAGCAAGCTAATGGAGAAGACCAGCATGCCAAACTTTGTCGAAAGCTTTAGATATGTCGAGAGCAATAGCCCTAGCCTCACCGCCTCCATCTAATGCACGATACAATCTTTCAGTTACAGCAGTTAGCAAGTCGGCCGTAGAGCGAGAGGATCGAAAACCGTATTGATTGTCTGACAGTAGTTTATTTGACTCAAGATGAGATGTGAGGAATTTGTTGATCAAAGACTCAAAGACCTTGCTAATAACAGAAAGAAGACTGATCGGACGATAATTGGAGGGGTCAGAATTTTCTCCAGAGTTTTTGAATATTGGAACCACAGATGCCATTTTCCAACAAGCATGAAAATAAGACTCAGTCAAACACTTGTTAAATAGTTTAGAGAGAATTGAAGAAAGTTCTGGAGAACAATTCTGCAAGACTATGACAGGAATGTTGTCTGGACCACAAGCTGTAGACGAGTTTAATTGAGATATGACTTAGCAACAGAAGCTGGAGTGATTTGAATGTCTAACAATGGGTCAACCTGTTTGACTGGAATGGAAGGAAGAGAATGTCCATAAGATTCAAGAGTGGAATTAGAAGAAAAGTTCTTTGCAAATAGTTCTGCCTTATCCTTGGGAGAGGTAATAAGATCAGTCCCATGAATGAGAGATGGAATGTTAGATCTACCCTTGTTAATAATGCTGTTGAAGATTTTCCAAAAGTCTTTAGAGCCTAACTTCTGTGATAAGATGCGAGATTTAGTGAACTGAGAATAATGGAGTTTAGCATCAGAAAGCACCTTTTTACATCGATTTCTTGCAATAATAAATAGCCGTTTGTTCTCAAGAGAGTTGTTATTTTGAAAAAGATGAAAAAAATGATTACAATTGGATATAGCAGCCGCACAAGAAGGAGAAAACCATGGAGTAGAATGAGGCTTGACTTGAAACCGACGCGAAGGAATAAAAGCTTCCATTCCAGCCTGAATCCAGGAGGTTACGTAGGTGGCGCATTTGTCAGCTGAGAAAGAAAAAACATCAGCCCAAGGACCATCACGAAGAAAATCACGAAAGGAATCCCAGTCAGCTTTAGGCTAGTAGTAGGTGGTGCGATGATAAAGTGAGCCTGAAAAAGAAGTACGAGAAGAAAGATTTATAGAGAACATTGCATGGTCAGAACCACCTAAGGGAGAAAAGGGAGAAACTGAACATAAGCTTGGGTCAGAGACAAGACATAAGTCAAGGAGTGAAGGTAAATGATTAGGGTTGTCAGGAAAACGAGTCACAA